TATATAGGTTGGAGGCCATCGCTATTGGGTTGGAGGCCATTGCTATTTGGTTGGAGGCCATTACTATTAGGTTGGAGGATACTGCTATTAGGTTGGATGCCATTGCTATTGTATAGGTTGGAGGCCATCGCTATTGGGTTGGAGGCCATTGCTATTAGGTTGGAGGATATTGCTATTAGGTTGGAGGCCATTGCTATTAGGTTGGAGGATATTGCTATTAGGTTGGAGGCCATTGCTATAAGGTTGGAGGATATTGCTATTAGGTTGGAGGCCATTGCTATAAGGTTGGAGGATATTGCTATTAGGTTAGAGGCCATTGCTATAAGGTTGGAGGATATTGCTATTATGCAGAAATATGACACCTCATACCGCAGCCATCCAGGCAGTGAAAAGGATCAGCGCGACATAGAGGGTATTTGCATGGTAGCGTGCTCTGGCGCACTTGGTCGCTTGAGAAGGTCGAAAGGTCTTGGAGGCGAAGATCGACCTTCCAGGGCGGAAGGGAGCTCGTGCACCGAGGTGCAGCTGGTGCTGGCTGGCCGTCGTGGTTGGGGCTGGCGTGGTGGCTTGGAGTGGGTTCCATGCGGGTGGCATGGCCCCTGAGGTGAGGGAGTTGATCGAGGCTGATCGACAGGCACCGCTGGATGACAAGCAGGCGACTCTCTACCGCTCGATGGTCATGAGGATGGCCTACCTGAGTGTCGACCGGCCTGACCTGATCCATGTGGAACTTTGGTTTCAACAATGAAGACGCCAAAGATGGTCGATTGGCAGAGGCTCAAGAAGGCGGTGCGGTATCTGGTCAGAGAACCGTACCTGAAGAGGGTGTTCTATGAGCAGCCGGTGGAGGATTACCAGGTGGTGGCACTATCTGATTCAGATTGGGCAGGAGATCTTCGCAGCAGAAGGAGCACGACTGGAACTGTCGTGAAGACATACGGTGCTTGTGAAAGGTGCCACGCAAAAGGTGGTCGCACTCTCATCGTGCGAAAGCGAATTTTATGGAATGTGCCGTGCTGCAACCCAAGCTGAATTTGTGAGAGGCATCATCAGCTTCTGGGGCTATGAGGCCAAGAAGGTCAAGATGTTGGTCGACAGCAGTGCGGCTAAGGCCATGAGTGAACGCCGTGGCATTGGCACCAACCGCCACGTGCAGGCCAGCTTTCTATGGCTCCAAAACAAGCTCTTCAACAAGGAGCTCGAAGTGGGAAAGGTGGCTGGAAAAGTCAATGACTCGGACTTGGTCACCAAAGTTCAGCCAAAAGGGGTGATCCATTCACACCTTGAGAGGCTGGGTTTCTTCAGAAGTGGCAGAGCTGGCCACAAAGGACTAACTTAGAGATGTTGGCCCTAGGTCCAGACTCCGCTACTGACTTTTGAAGTCGTGCAGCTCAGGGGGTGCAGAAATATGACACCTCATACCGCAGCCATCCAGGCAGTGAAAAGGATCAGCGCGACATGAGGGTATTTGCATATTAGGTTGGAGGCCATCGCTACTAGGTTGGAGGCCATCGCTATTAGGTTGGAGGCCATTGCTACTAGGTTGGAGGCCATCGCAATTAGGTTGGAGGCCATCGCCATTGCCAATCGCTACTTGGTTGGTTCAGAGATGGACTTCCCAGCTTCAGGATCCATTTTGGACAACTAGTTATGCATATGAGCAAGGGCTTGTTATTACATTGTTCCTGGTTCTTGATACCTGATGTCTCTACAAAATGAGTGGGCCGAATGCGGAGGGCGTCTTTTTTGATTCGATGAGCAAAATGCCTTGGACGCTTTGGAACATCCTGTTTCCGACCGAAAGACCTGCGACGCGAAACTCGCCGACGCAGAACCTGCGACCTGATCAACCAACGCCGAGCGAGCAACCAGTTTTTCTTTGTTTCTTGTGACCGACGGGCGAGACACTTGTGACCGACGGCACAGGAGGTCTTTTGGAAGCAAGGGGGCGATCTGCCCGGCGAAGGGACCTGGTTTCTGAACGTGGTCCCGGGGCTCAGCCCGGGCCTCAAGTCGCTACATCAGCTCGGGGCGAAGGGAGATTCCTGGAGTGAGAAATGTTCTCAGGTGATTTCGGAGGAACGTGGCGGATACGCTTCAGGGCGCAGGCCAGGTTTGCCTAGGGGTGGGAAGTTGTGACCATGACAGGGCGGAAAACCAACATGTCAAGCTGGAAAAACATGTCATGTTGGCTGGCT